ACGTAGCCGATGTGCAATACATAATACAGTACAGTCAGCAAATTCAGTCCTTATCATTTTTTGAATCTTTTCATCCATGGCAAAATCAATGCTAATAATTAAAGAGAGATTAAATAAATGAACTGATATACTGAATTAAATCTTTTAAACGAGATTATAAATATTACCTTGCAGTGGCTTCATCCATCAATATAATTTTTGAACTTTTTAATAAAGCTCGAGCCAGACATAATAATTGTCTCTGACCTTGGCTAAAATTTTTTCCGCCTTCCCTTACAGGTGTATCTAAATTTTTAAATAAATTGATATTATCCTCTGAAAATGAGATAGCTTCTACATCCTCTACAGAAGGAATTAAGTGAACACGTCGAAGAGATTCCAATATTTCACTATCCTCATATTGAGAAAATGCATCAAGGTTTGACCGTATTGTACCTAATAACGTTGCATTATTATTATTTTATCAGCAAAAAGATAAATAATAGTTGATCCCTGACCAAGATTACCTGTAAACAGTATAGGATCCTGTGGAATGATAGTTATTCTTGACCGAAGATCTTCGACACCGATCGATGAAATATCAATTTCATCAACTAAAATTCTTCCGTCCGATGGTTCCACGAACCGAAACAAAGTCAATGCCATTGTTGACTTTCCAGACCCAGTGCGTCCAACAATTCCTATTTTTTCTTGACCTTCTACATTGAATGAAATGTGATGCAGTACCGGCTCTAAATCAGGAGCATATTTAACTTCCAGGTTTTGTACCGTGATTGCGCCACTATGTGGCCAACAAGCAGGTGGTCTTGGTTCAATTATAGCTGGAGCTTCTTGAGGAATTTCAGAAAGCTCGCTTACTCTTTCAACAGCATTAAAACTCATTTCAAGTGAAGTATATCTTCTAACAGTCCACATTATTTGCTGTGTGAAATCCATTGCAAATGACAAAGACAAACCAGCCAAACCAGCATCAATTTGGTCAAGATTCCATAAAATGAAAATTCCAGCTAAAAATGAAACGAATGAACTAGCAATACCGAAACGGATTGAAAGCCAGCGATTTGTTAACCACATATAAAAGAATGGACGATTATTGTTTTCTATTCTGGGATAGAAAATGACCGACAACATATTAATTAAATGTAAAGCACGCGAAAAAGTTAATAAATCAATATACAAACTTTAATAACATATCTTGCATAAACCGCTTCGATGCGCCGAAAGCTCTAATTGTTGTTATGCCACTACAAACGACACCAAGATTGTTAAAAACAAATAAATAAAAAAATTTTCAAAACTTAAAGTAATGATTATAACGTTTACATTAAAGTTTCAGTGAAATGAGAAAATAGTGGGGATCTTGACACAGAATCCATCCTTTTGAGCTCCCGAGATGCCTTCGCGTATAGTATACCAACAATTGTGTAAATAATACCTGATTAAAATAAATTAAAAAAAAAAAAGGTTGAAAAGTTTATATTCTTAGCGCAAGATAAAGAATCAACAAAAATAATGATAGTAGAATTTACCGAAAAAGATTGTCGCAACGAGAAACTCTATCAATTAATTATGGTCACAATTTTAGATGTAATTATTATGCATTTAAAAAGAACATGATTGAAAAACCTCAATACCTTTTGTAATGACCGTTATAACAGCCATAGTACTCAATATCATGAGTACCTAAAAAAAAAAATTACAAAATTATTTATCTCTCCGGATATAACTACATCTGGATATAACATAGTAAAATCTTTAAAATCTTTATATAAATATCTTTATAGCTTAGTTGTTAGGATAATGATAGCCTTTAAATTTTTTATTGTCTCGGACAGTGTCGTTATAACCAGAGTTATACGTATTATTCACAAAGTAAAAGTATAACAAATAAAATGTATTTACATTGATCAAAAACCATGCAAGTTCGCCTGGAAATAAAATATTTAGAAAAAATAAGGAAGAAGTCACAAAAAATAATTGTGATTATAACCCAAAGATAAATTTACCTGTTAAAATGCTATCAATTGTTTCAAAATCTTTACTGAACCTATTAAGAATTCTTCCAACTGGGGTCGTATCAAAAAATCTTAATGGAGCACGAATAACTTGATGAAGTAGTGTTTGATAAAGTTTTTTAGACGCTCTCAATGATCCGTAATAAAGCCAAGCAAGACGCAAAACACCAGTGATAATAGATAAGGATGTAATTAACACGTATATATTCAAATAAAAATCAACGCTATGTGGTTTGTAAATATCGTCGAATATTCCATCAATCATAATTAAATTATCTTGTTGAACCAAATTGAAAATCGTAATTGTCTCGTTATTCTTATTGGTATTTGACCAAACTTGAAGCCACCAACTTTCCATTATCTGTATTCCTCTGGATCCAATGAAGATTACTGCAACAATCAACCAATAAAGTATATTTCCATTTGCACGAAAATATGACTTGTAAATCTTAAACTTAACCATTCCAGTTTGTCGTGCTAATAATTAATTACAATCAAGATTAATGTACGTTTTTCCTAAACCGAATCGACAAGTAAATGATGAGACACACCTTCTTCTTCGATAAGAACTTTTGGTTTGGAAACTTTTTTTACCGGGTTTGAATCATCCACCTGCGCAACATTATCGACGAGAGTTGCATCAAAAGTAGTATTTTCTGTGGCCAATTCAACGGAATTTACTAATTCTGATTGAATATCATTTTCATCAAGGATCGAAGTCAATATTCCTAAATTACGTAATTCTGAAACCACACCAGACATGACAATTTTTCCATTATCGACTGCAACCTATAAAAATAATTTGGTCATAATTAATAAAATATTAAATAATTATTAAATGCACTTTGGTCGCAGATTTTTTATGCCATACCAAATAAGTGGCATCAGCCAAACAGAGTCTGATATGATGCGTTACAAGAATTCGAGTACGTCCCTCCATAATAGGACCTAATAGACATTTACTCATCAATTGCTGAGCAGTATGTGCGTCAACAGCACTGAAAACGTCATCTATGTATATATGTTTTGCTCGCGAATAAACGGCTCTATGAAATTTACAATTTAATGTCATGCTGAATAATAATTAATTAATTAAAATTTAATCATAATTAAATTTACCTTGCTAAAGCGACACGCATCTTCTGACCACCACTTAGTGTAATTCCTTTCTCACCAATCTCTGTCATATCTCCATCTTCAAATATTTGAAAATCTTTTTCCAGAGCACATACTTTTATAACTTGATTATATCGACTTTCATTGTAAGGAAGACCAAAAAGAACATTATCACGAATAGAAGAATTTTGAAGCCATGCTTGTTGCGCAACGTAAGCGGTACAAT